CTCTTGTTATTTCTGCGGTCAGCGTAACTCCCCACTGATTTCGCGCCTTCCTTAAAAAAAAGCAGCAATTTTTAATAATCATTTTAGGGGGGTTTCCCGTGGACCAATTTTTAACAACTTTTAGTATGTCACTCTGCCAACCCAACACTAAAATAAAACTACAAAAAGTTTCATTGGAAATTTTTAAGGTCATATCCTATATTTATCTGACTACTACCATTGACTATATAGGTTAATATAGTCAATGCTACTACTGTAATTGTCTATTATGAAAAATTGAATATTGGTACGTTTGAAAACGTCTACTTTTTCAGTGTTCCTATGCTCGGATTTTGTCGGATTTTTGTTTGTATATTATCTTGTAGTTGTATTTATAGACAAAGCTTGTATGTATGATTTAAAAATAGGGCTTAACCTTCTTAAAGCAATTTTTCCCACCTCAAAGTGTATTTTACCAGGATTAGATGTTACCGTGTAGCGGTGCGGCGCGCGTCACGGCTATCGTTCTAAGTTGAAGACTAATAACAAATATATCCCATAATATATCCCATCTTCAAAGCAAGATACAAACTGATGTGATGGTTATTATTGTTCAAAATTTAATGCAGATTATTATAATAGCCACAAAACATGTACTGTATGTTCATATCACCTGAGTTTGTATTTGCAAAGATTTAAAGGTTTTACTAAAAAAATCTTTGAAATTTGGTATTTTTTAAATTTAAAGCTCTCCCATTCAAACAAAACAATATTGAAATGGTATAAATGTTGTTATCTTAAAGTAGACTTAATGAGGAAGCTATTAAAACAAACCGCAGATGTTTAATACGCTTAGTTGTCAAACTATTGCTATTTTACTAAAAGCTTACATAAATCCAATTTGGCGGAAGCTTTTTTCCAATATGGCGGCTTTCCGCCACTTCGATTGTCCTTGATTTTTAGTATGATGTTGTGGACACCTTTGTTGACAAAATCCCATATTTGTTATTTCTATTGCCTTAAGTTTGATGTTATGCTTAATTTGACTCTAGATTGACTAGCCTATAATAAAAGCATGCTGTTTTGTGTTGTTTGGTTGGAATACTGGTGTGCGGCAAAAGTAAATAAACGGTATCAGCATTCTGACACATACTTTCTCCCATAAGCTTGCCAACAACCTTTATCGTAAGTAAGCGGTGAGAGTAAATATACGGAAATGGGATTTGTACAATTTTCTTCAGAATTTAAAGGACTATAACATACTAAATTTTTATCAAAATCGTTCGAGCCAATTTTGGAAAAATCTGATTTTCCGTTATTTTATGGGGTTTTATGGGAAAATAACATAATTTACAATAACTTTTGAATCGTAATTTTTACAGAAATGGGATTTGTAAAATTTTCTTCAGAATATAAAGGACTATAATATACTAAATTTTTATAAAAATTGTTCAGGCCATTTTTGGGAAAATCCTATTTTTCCGTTATTTGGGGTTTTATGGGAAAATCCCCATTAAAATAAAAATTTCTAAAAAATGAAAAACTATCACAATTGTAAGGACCATAACATAACATACAGTGTTAAATCAAAACCGGATTTTTGTCTAAAATCCTATTTTTTCGTTATTTTATGCGGTTTTTATGGGAAAATAACATAATTTACCATAACTTTTGAACCGTAATTTTTACAGAAATGGAATTTGTACCATTTTGTTCAGAATTTAAAGGGCTACAACATACTAAATTTTTATCAAAATCGTTCGGGCCATTTTTGAGAAAATCCGATTTTTCCGGTTTTTTATGGGTTTTTATGGGAAAATCCCCATTAAAAGTCAAAATTTCAAAAAAATGAAAAAAACGCCTGGAGATACTATGGATTAGAACCTACATACCAAATTTCATCGAAATCGGACCACAGGTGTAGTCTCTAGCTCTGTACACATCCAGACACACAGACACACACACACACACACACACACACACACAGACATCACTTCGAAAACCACTTTTTTGGGTCCAGGGGGACCCAAAACGAATATATCCACTCAAAACTCAAACTCGAAAATTTTGACGAAAACAATACTTTCTCCATATACTATGGTATAGGGGGAGAAAGTAAAAGTGTGGGACAAAAGTAAGTAGATACAGTAATTAGCATCTTTCTGTGCTATAAACAGTGCAAGGAAGGCCAATTTGTCAGTTGACTGTAGGAAAAAGCGTTTTAGCCCCTAGGGAGTACAAATCAGCTGTTGCCAACTCAATTGTAAATTTCGATTGTAAACAATTGCATGGTTCGAAATTATGTATATCTATCTATACAGGCTGATCAACTCAAGGAGGCCACCATTGGGATATCGGAAACGGTTAGAATTAGAGAAAACTTTAAATGGGGGACATTCCTTTATTTTTTGTGACAGTTAAAAATATGATTTTAGTTTTTCAAAATTCAGCCGCCATTTTCCAAAATGGCGGCCAACTTTGAAATTTCTTATAGAACACATTTCTTTATGTTTTCGGATAGAACATGCAATTTAAAAACTTTTTTATTCTTGACATTTTTTCGATAAACCCACTCGTTTAGGAGTTACAGCCTATGGAAAAATGACTTCCGGTGTACATTTTACATCATGTAGCTCCAAAAAAAGTAAGTTTATAGCGAAAATGCGAGGAGAAAATAAGTCAAATAAGTCTTAAAATTGCATCCACATTCCAAAAAGTCCATAAAATTCGTTAAAAATATTAATTCTATTTTTTTTAAATGGCGGCCATTTTCCAAAATGGCGGCAAACTTGAAAAGTGGAAAACTGTGTATTTTATGGTCTTAATCGAATGTGGATGCAATTTTAAGACTTATTTGCCTTATTTTCTCCTCGCATTTTCGCTATAACCCTACTTTTTTTGGAGCTACATGATGTAAAATGTACACCGGAAGTCATTTTTCCATAGGCTGTAACTCCTAAACGAGTGGGTTTATCGAAAAAATTTCAAGAATAAAAAAGTTTTTAAATTGCATGTTCTATCCTGTTCTAAAATACAGGGTGTTCCATAAGAAATTTCAAAGTTGGCCGCCATTTTGGAAAATGGCGGCTGAATTTTGAAAAACTAAAATCATATTTTTAACTGTTACAAAAAATAAAGGAATGTCCCCCATTTAAAGTTTTCTCTAATTCTTACCGTTTCCGACATCCCAATGGTGGCCTCCTTGAGTTGATCACCCTGTATATTAATAGGCAAGCATGTTTCTTTAAAACCTTTTTTCTCAGCTCGTGTCTATCGCAGGGGAAATCTACGCATACTGTTAGAAAGATATTTGCCTGTAGATGTGCAGAATCCCTTTATAAATTAAAATAGGCTAAAAAATAAGCACAAAAAACAAATTTGAAAACTTCAAAAAATTAACATGGACCAACTGGGTTGCCATGATGGTGATGAAATAACAACAAAATGTAAACAGAAAATCAGGTACTTACGTATTATACGGAGGCCACTTATTTTACAGCGCGCTGCGGCGGTTGGGTTAAGTTGGGTTATCATAAATATGTTTGTAGAACTTTCCTAGTTTCGGTATGAATCGAACTATACGAGATGAGTCATAAAAACTCATGATAACCCAACCTAACCTAACCGCCGCAGCGCGCTGTAAAATAAGTGGCCTCCGTATAATACATAAGTACCGAAAATCAAAACAAATGGAAGAAATCCCAATCACATGTTTTATTTACAGTGTGGGGAGAAAATATAGAAGTCTGTACATTAATTATTTTTGGTCGAGTTTCGACCACGGAACGACCACTAGTATTGTTTATTTGGTTGTAGTAATTGCTGCCTTATCGATGGAATAATGTACACTAACGTTAAGAGTGTAGAATTTTCAGTGGGACCTCCCCCACTTATTGATTAGTGGGGCTCCTTATCTCGTTATACTCGGTCATATTTCCTACCTACAACGCATTTACATCTTTGTTTGTATAATTTTGCCCGGTGTAACGCCTGCAGATCATGAAGAATGCAACAACGGTGCACCGGCGACACGGCGTGTAAGGAACATCGTCAGGAATTTGGATTTGTAATAATATGCTAATTTCTGATTTCAGCGTTTAACAACTCCTTATCTGCGCTCAACTATTGCTTTACCACAGAATAAAGACCTAACCCAAAAACCCTTACTGAGCCAAAAGAACAACGCGTTTGTATCTGCTGGAGTCTACACTAGAATATGAGCCATGCTGGTACTGTTTTTTTTTTTTTTTTTTTTTAAGTAGGCAATGATATCAATTATTTAAGATGGGGACGCCACTATGTGCGTATTTTAAAACAAATAGAGAGAGAGAGAGAGGGAGAGAGAGAGAGAAATTCTTTATTTATACACATTATTTTGCAGCAAATACATTAAGAAATAAAAATATCACATGGGTCACAATGACCTGTGCGTGATAGAGTCCTTACTGGCTGCTTCATCAAAATAAAAGTTCTTCACACTTCACTACACATAAAAAAAAAGAATAAAAAAAAAAACAATAACTTGGTAAAATAAGCATACAATTTAATTTAATATACAATTATAATTATAACAACCTAATAACCATATACAATGTGCAACTCAATAACTTGGGGAACACATTGCTTGATTACATCTGATGAACAAATTAACTTTTTTTTTCAATTCCGCTCCTAGTAGCTGGATTACAGGACGACATCACCGTCCCAGTCATTTGTAAATATGACCAGGCGATAGCAACGGTGCAGTTCTCTCTCCTACTGTCGTCACGCCTTGCCTAGGCCATCAGCCAGTGACAACAGCGCTCCTAGATTCTGGTGTAGACACAAGCAAATTCAAAAGCAATTTTTTTGTCTTTATTTTGCTAAGTGAGAGTTCTGGGTTACATTTTTTCCTGTGGTTATACTCGCATATCTAGCTGTAAATAAGGTATGGTTATTTCATTCTTGATGGTCGATATATCGACAGCTGTTCATTGTATCATTTTACACGATTATAATGGAATGTATGGGGTGTGTTGCAGGCCAGGCAATGCGACAAGAGGTGTGGGACACATGCCCGTGCTGATACCCTGTTTCTCCCTCTCTCACCACGCTGCCAATGCTACTCACCAGTCTACGGTATGTGTATACCTTGTAAGACAACCCATCAGAGTCAGCAGATTACACATTCATTGGACGTTTCTATTTTCAGCCATTGCCCAGAGTGCAGTGCCGCTAATTTGTTTTACTTACCAATCCAGCTTGATTGATAGGCTGTGTGCACCATTGACTTTGGCAATGTTTTTAGACTTTAGCCACAAAAAACTAAGGCTGGTTTTATGCACCGCGACAGTCGCGTGTCGCGGCGCGACTCAAGTTCTATTGAGTTAAATGGGAGCATTTATGCACCGCGACAGCGACAAACTGCCGCACAAGCGACTCGGAGATCTCTAAATACCCGCGACAGGTTTTAGAATCGCAGCTTCAAAAAATGTGTCGCGCGCGGTTCAAGTTCTATTGGATCAAATGGGCACGTTTATGCACCGCGACAGTCGCGGCACGACAGTAGTCTTTTTTATACTCCACGTGGTATATTCTCCATATATTTATATTGATTAATGTTAATCATCAGTATATAAATGAGTTCTTTACCCTTTATTTGTAATATAAATTGCATAATTATATTATGTAATGACATTTTTAACGTGTTGACCCAATTCAAACTGTAAATTGTACGTGTTGTTTAAATAACTGGGGTTTTGTCATTAACGTGTACAACACTATAGGGTCTATATTTAAACAACTTAATAATCACTTCTACATCACAAACACAACACACAACATTGGATTGAGAACAGACTGATTTCTTTAATTCCCCCACCACCGGATGTGAGTTTACGCGACAAAAAAGTGTCACTGTCGCGTGACATTTTGGTCAGCCGCAAGACGAGGCGCAACACGGGACTCGCGACTGTCGCGGTGCATAAAACCAGCCTAAGTTACAACATCTGCTTGCACGAGGTTAGTCATCCAAGAAACACAATGTGGTATGTTGATAGTACAAGTATTAGAGATAGCAACACTGATTACAGTACAGTACCACTAATTAGGGGCGGCAATAAGAACCCAGTTTTTCACCAGCCCCCCTCTCCCAATAATCTTCAAATCAATCAAATCAATCAATTATTTAAGATGGGGACGCCACTATGTGCGTATTTTAACCCAAATATGAGTGAAGGATGAGTCGTAGTACTCGGGGCTAGATCCGCCACTGGTCTGGATTAATCAAAATCTGTGTCAATGGAATTTAGATTGATGAGAGTTTATTGTGCTGTTTGCATAAAATTAAAAAATACCTCACCTTCTAATTTTGTATGCCTTGTTGTTCATACTGTATTAGCTACCAATTAAAGAGATGGATTTCTGGTTACAGTTGGTGAGTGGGCCAGGTCGCATGCCGTTCCTTAGCCCCAAGATGTCCTCTAGGCTCACCTCCATGTTCTACACTGTGGAGGTCGGTGACACCAAGTTCACCATTCTCAAGCGATACCAAAACCTGAAACCTATAGGATCTGGAGCTCAGGGAATTGTTTGGTTAGTAATTCAAATACTTGTCATTGTACAACAATGTGCACCTTCCTGCTGCAGGTGAGGACATGTATGATGTATGTACGCTGAGGAGTTTTTAACTTGTTAGTCACAGATTGCACCGAGCCTATGATGCAATTTTACAGCAACTCATTGGCATTTTGTTTAGCACAGTCTCATTTTTCTATATCTGGGTAGCTGAGTAATTTTAGTGTTCACCTAATGATCTAAAGGTTGCCGGTTTGGTTCTGAGAAAAGTCAGACATTTTTTTATGGTTCAAAACTAGACTCAGCTGTCCCTGATAAATGGACCAGGCTACATTTAATGCTATTGTCATGCTCGATAAGCTATTGTTGACATGCCTGGACAATCTGCATCTTCCCATAGCATAGACTGACTGTGGTAAACACATGTATTGGATGCCTACTTTGCATTTAGGCTTGTGGTGCATTTAACATACATTCTGTGTTTCTCCTGCAATGGGTTAAATGGTTTATGTAAAATCTGTAGTTTGTAGTTTGCAGATCCTCTCATATTCAGACCCATTTTCTAGTCCTAGTTTTATTTGACCTCTCAAAATTCAAAAGTAAGTTTGTGAGAGCTGACGATGTACAGTTGACTCAAGTACTTATTGTGGTGTGTCTGTTTATCACAATAAATCTATTCACAAACCAATGAAAGTTATCTGTTGTTAAACTGTGCATACTTCTGCTCTGATTCAGTTGAGTGGTTAGTGTCTAAATAGCATAAACTGTTATCAGTAGTGTCTATTGCTTAAACTACATTTAAAAAAAAAACCCCTAATATGATATTTTAACTTTTTTAAAACAAAGTTTAAAAAAATTATGTCATTTTAAGTTAAAGTTGGTTTAGCCGTGCTAGGTTTAGTCCCGAAGTTGCTGGATATGAGGGGTCCTACTGTATTGAATGTTAGTAAATTGAATTTGGTCTGCTCATTACGATGTAGGCTATTATCGTCTCTTATCTGTAAATTTGCTTTTATTAATTATTTTGTTTGCTGAACTTATAATTTTATGAACTATTATCATTTATACAATGTTAGTGCCCACATTGGTATGTGTCCACAAAATTGTTGTTTGCACAAAATTGCCCTTCTATTTGTACAAGGCTTCTTACTTAGATTATCTTTGCATGAAGTAAAGTCATACTTTTGTTGTATTATTTTATTTTGTATTTTTGGTACTTGCCTGTTATATCAAATTTTAAATGAAATTCCACCACGGCCCCGCACTAAACTTCCTTGTAAATGACAACAAATATATTACGCTTTAAACAGCTCATCGCCTTTAGATTAAACTAGCTGTACCCGCGGGCTTTGCCCCGTTTAACTTCTTAATTTTCAAGATGAGCTCGTTCGCATGGCTCAATCACGTCCTGGTGATTGAGCCATATAATATATATACTAAATATATATACTAATATATATACCTAAAGGTGCGTTCGCTACGCTCACTCACCTTTAGGTTGGATCTCGTTTGCTGCGCTCACTTGCCTTCAGGTTAGCTCGTTCGCTACGCTAACTCGCCTCCAGGTTGAAGTTTGTTCGCTACGCTCACTCACCTTTTGGTTGCAAATTAGCTGCTGTCATAAATTTAAAAAATAATAATAGTGCTGCACCCTGTTGGCAATCCTTGTAACTTTAAAGCTATTGAACATCATAGAACAGAACCGACTTGTTTAATTGAAACAGCTTATAAGATTCATTAATTCCTTTTAAATATGAAAAATCATAAGGTTAATATGGGAAACTCCAGAGCTACTGGGGCGGAGCCCGAGAGTCCGATCAGAATAAAAACAACTTAGTTTTCCTATTTAATGCCTAAAGAATCGGTGTACCAAATTTCAGCCTCCTAGGTAAATGGGAAGTGGGAGAATTAGTGATGAGTGAGTGAGTGAGTGAGTGTGTCAGTGAGGGCTTTGCCTTTTATATATTTAGATGTTATGGAAAAGTTGTAGCTTAGCTAGTTTTAGAAACATTATTAATGTAGTTCAATTAATGGAGCCACCGTCAGAGAAAAATTGCTGCTGTAAAGTCCTGTTTTATTTCTTAGACACCAACTTGTTGAATGGCAAAACTATGAGGACAACTCACTGAAAGCTCTGAACCATGGCTTATGTTAAAATGCATCCATAAACTATAATAGTACTAGTACAGCAAATGAGTGAAAATATAGCTTTTATAGTAGCTCAATAATAAGCGGCTCATTTAACTGGTTTCTTTGGTTAAAAAACTTGTAACTCACCTGGTCGATAGATGAGGTTTCTATTTCTAGTCAGTGATATAAGTTGACAAGTTGTGTATTATCATTAAATTAAAAGATTCTGGGAAGACATATGCTGTTGTAATAATAAAATCATAATTATTGATATTTTATTTTGTTTACAGTCAACATTTATGTTTTGCCATGCTATTAATTATATTTTAATACATTTAGGTCCCTCCTTCAGTATAAAACTGTCTATTATTGTATTATTTTACCTGTGTTCACATTACTTTGTTATTTCTGCCTGTTTCTGTATTTTAGTTTTTGAGTTTCTCAGAGTGTGCTTACAGTGTATTGGGCAATTAATCATTTGAGTCATAAAGTCTTATATATCGGCAATCAATAAGAATGTAAAACAACATGAAAAGTTGAAGGTACCTTGAAGTACGCAGAATCTTGGCAGTCAAGTAATTCTATGCTATGTAGGCCTATGGGGTTTTTGTTGACTAGGTACTGTTATTAATGCTGTTATCAATGGCCGAGCAGTCTAAGGCTTTGTCCCCACAATTAGGAGATAGCTCCGTGGATTGAAAGTTGTAACCCTGTCTCTCTTAGGTTTGGTTTGCAATTCATAAAAGATTTTACCTACGACCGTTTTTTAAAGTAGCCATTTCAGTCCAGTTCTTAGAATTGAAAAGTTTCACTTTACAGCTGTTTACTTTCATATCCGCATAGTTTCATTTCATATCCGCATAGTTTTCTCATATCCACACAGGTAACGAACCAATGAGGTTCAAGTATTGAGAGAAAAGAATTAAAATTGTAATGCTTCGAACGTCAACTAACCAGCTGATCAGTTGAGCAATTTAATTGTTGATCCGACTTGTTCATGTTGATACTAGCGTATTCTTAATTAAGTTGGTGGAAGTCCAAAAATAAATTAAATATTTGCCGAATTGTACCTGATACAATATTATTTATGGTAAGAATGCTGCTAGCAATGTAATATTTAATGAAGTTTAACAAACACGTAATTACAGGAAATCAGCTGATTATACAACAAGTCGTTGCATCACTTTCAGTGGCAATGACAATACACGAAAACATAACCTCTCTAAAAAGTTATCATTAGTGATTGTTAGTAATTAAATCCAGATTGATAGTAATTAAAAAACGGTCGTAGGTAAAGTAGTGTACGCAACTCGCGTTAATAGTCTTTACGACACTCGTAGAAGTTTTTAAGGCACTCGCCAAGGCTCGTGCCTTAAATTTTCTACTCGTGTCGTAAAGACTCACTTAACGCAATCGTTGCGTAAACTACTATTAACTGTCAACTTTCTGTGGCTGAGCTTGATTGAAGAGGACCACCTTAAATAAATGGTAGACAGCTCTGGTGAAATTTTACGAGGCGGGTGATCTTTTTGTGAGGTGCTCCTCAAGCATTCTGCTACTTATCTACTGTTAAATTTGTCTTGATATTTTTAACAATTTTTAATTATTGTGCCTATGAATAAGAATAAAACATTTAAATAGACACATTTATTCCAAAATACAATAAAATAACTAATATTAATGTTAAACACACTATCACACTCTGAGATCCTCCAAAGTGTTTTTTCTTTTATGGTATTTCAAATTGTGTTGTTATTATTTTTGCGTAGTGTTTGATTTGGCACCGTGAGCTAGCTGTTGTTGTATATCGTACCTAGTTGTTGCATGCGATTGCCATCGTACTCATGATAGTCCCCAAGATGGCGTTCTATACACAAGAGTTTGGGGATACTGAGTTCTCTGTTCCTGAACGTTACACACAGCTCATCCCCAAGGGGATAGGAGCTCAAGGCATGGTTTGGTAAGTTTACAGTAGATCTCCTCTACACATGGGTAAAATCTGTTAGATGGCCCCAACTCATTTGAATTCAAATTGGGTTAGGATAGTTATTTAATTTGTTGCGTTTTTAATGGGAAATTTAATTTTTTTTGGAAATTATTTTAAAAAATAACTATGAAAGCCCTTTAAAGCGTAATTTTTTCAACAATCGCCAGACCCTGCTACAATGTTTTTTCCCCAAATCCCGCAAAACCACCCCTCGTTTTGCCCTTTGCTTTTGGAATAAGTGTCATGATTCAATTCATAAATCTCACCGTCAAAATAGAATTTTAAAAATTCAAATGGGAGTGTTGCTAGTCTGGTGGTTTTGTGCTGGAGGGACAGGTTTGATTCCCGGCATACCCACAAATCATATGGGCATGGACCGTTCCCAAACACCCATCCTATCTTCTCTTCTAATAAGTGTCACTGGCGTAAACAAGAAGAAAAAAATACCTAGGGGAGTATCAACTGGAATTTAGGTCCTTAATGTCAACTAAATGTTTCTCTAACTTATAACCATAGTACCACACTGTGTTTTTGGAAAACAAATTCATACTTGATTTTCCCTTTATTTTGACCCAAGAAACCATTTCCCAAAGTTTGACTGTTAGCTTGCTGGACACCCTCGCCATCTGTGTCTGTTTCCACTCATTACGATCGGAAACAGCTGTTAAAGATCGACAAACTAATGGACAATGAGCTGAATCCAGTCCTAGTTCCAAATGGTTCACTAACTGGTTGTCAGATTCCTCCCCACCTACTGGTTTGGGTCATCTAGAGAACGTCTTGTCAAACCGTAGTGTCTTTTTATGCGTGAAGAGGAAGGCTCGTAAAACGCCTTGATTAACCAAACGTACCCTGACCCGACTTGTATTTAAAGGAATTGAGGGTAGCTAAAATTGTTGAACAAAAATAGAATTACTATGTTGTTAATAAGTACTGGATTTTGCTATGACAAATACCTAAAATTGTTAATTTCCTTAATTATGCATTTTGGGTTGTGCTAGTATGTTATCATTTCGTTTGTGTTCTTTTTTTATTAAATTAGTCAAAACCATACATATAATTAGTTGTTAGTTTTGATATTGTGTAGTTGAATAGATACTGTGCTCGCCTAGTTATCAGATTGTTGTGGGTTCGATCCTGAGAAGAGTCAGTAGCTTATTGATCATTCAAAACTGGACCTTGCGGCTCTGGCCATTTTTGTTTTAAAAGATGGTTCTGGCTAAAAAAAAAGCTGTTCTTAGTCGGTAACAAAGCTACACAAATCATCTCACTCCACTCTTCAACACTCATTCAGCTTAAAAGTTTTACCGAAAGTACTTTTATGTTTTATTAAAGAGATTAATTGGTAAGTGATTAACAGTATTAGCACAATTCTAATTAGGCCTACTGTTTGTTTTCCAAACAAATTGTGTTTATAAAATAAATCAAAGTAATAATGCGTCATTGACATAAGATTACAGAGTCTCCAAATTAATATAGTATTTGTTTGAAACTGGAAATTCAAAATGGTTAAAATCTCTGTATCTGTAAGAAGATGTCCCATTATTTAATTTTTATTCTGTTAACCCTCACCTTGATTAAAACCTTAAGTTTAATTTGTTAACGTAATCAAGATTCGTACAAGAGCTCGTAATACTGAATTTGTTTGTTAACGTATGTCTAAATGTTTCTGTGCAGTGCTGCATATGACACAGTCACACAACAAAATGTTGCCATCAAGAAGCTTTCCAGGCCATTCCAGAACGTAACTCATGCAAAGCGAGCTTACCGCGAGTTCAAACTAATGAAACTCGTCAATCATAAAAATGTAAGTAGAATAATCAGAAACTAGTTTTTATGTAGATATTAGATAACATTTATTTTTGTTTTGCTCAGTTGTAGCACATATTTTATTGTCCTTTGATGGTGTTGGAAAATGTCCTGTAGCTATAAATCTTTTTAAAGGAAGTTAATATACCTTGTTGTTCTATAGGTTAATTTAAAGTTCAAACATGGCCAGAATAGTTTGTTGTATCCTTGACCAAGAAACAACACTTTAAACTGAAGGCTTGAATCCCATCTCTCAGGGTCTGGTGGGTCTCCATGAGGAGCCCACCTGTTAGTGGCAGAGGCCCACATAAAATAAACGGTTAAAAGTATGGAAGATAAGAGCTTGGGTATGAGTGAAAGATAAAGAAATTTGGTTCGATCCTTAAAAGTTTTACTTAAAGTCAGGCATTTTTTTAAATTTGGTTCTGTGGATCAAATTCGTTCAATTATTGCTTTGCTACTATGTTGACAGATCATTGGCCTGCTCAATGCGTTCACACCTCAACGGTCGCTGGAAGAGTTCCAAGACGTGTATCTTGTGATGGAACTCATGGATGCCAACCTGTGTCAAGTCATACAGATGGACTTGGACCATGAGAGAATGTCTTATCTGCTGTACCAGATGCTGTGTGGCATCAAGCATTTACACTCAGCTGGCATCATACATAGGGTGAGATAGAATTGGCCTTTTTAAACACTTAAGTTTTATGAAAACAAAGTTATTGCTATGTTAGTAATTGCTATTATTCTATTCCTGTACTTGTTTCATATACCTATTATAAGCTTATCACAGGAATTTCCAAGGGCTTTTACAGAGCCCCAAATCAAAATAAACACTTCTCCAAATCAAAATAAACACTTTGGTGGTAGCCGTTAATCTGGCACATTGAATAATTGGGCATTTTATCTAATGGTGGGTTTGCCTAAAGAGTTGCGGACCTCTCTCCGTTGTGTATTCCTAGCTCTTCTGCAGTGCGCTGCAAGGTGTCAGTAGTTGTTTGCTAACAAGTGAGTGAACATAAGCTCTCGTCCTCTAAGTAAGAAAAAAAATATTGTTGTTGATGTTATGAGAGGAAGAAGAGATTGAAGAGATTGATGAAATTGACTTCATTGGTGATCTTTTTAACAAAATTGGATGACCACCGACTAGCTCTAACAAACAAGACTATGTTTAATAACGTGCAACACAAATAAAAAAAAAAAAAACCATTGCTAGGACGCAACAGCCGTCTTCAACGGACTCTTGGCAACGAACTCTCGGCAACGAACTCTTGGTAACAAACTCTCGGCAACGTTGCTGAAATAATAGGATGCACAACCTGTTTTTGGTGGGCCAAAAATGTTGCCATTACATTGCTGGGAAACAACGGTAACTTACATCTATATCGTGCAGCAGTCAAACAGTTTATAATGGACATCGTGAGACAGCTCAAGAATTATATCTTGGATGTCGTGACACTGACTTTTATCATTGAACGTCGTGAGACTTGGCTCAAATGTATCCAAATGCCATTTGACTATCTTAGGATTTTAGAAGTATTTACGGTATTCTAGCAATAACAATAATTATAAAACAGTGCTAAGTTATCCAGTTATATCAAAAACCTGTGTATTTATTTTGAATTGACAAAAAGTCCAGGACACTCTTTGTCCTTGGTACTTGGTACAAAAACCTTTTTGTGGTATAACCCTTAAAAAAAAAAGATTTTTTTGTGTTTAGATAACAATTTAAGAACAAGTCTTAAAATTGCACTTGCAATCTGAATCAGTAATGGTATTGCAGCTATTGTGACATAAACCGCTTTAGAAGTCAATCGTAAATTTATAAATCATTCAAAATAAATTAAATAACAGGAAGAAGAAAATTTGTTAGTACATTCTAAATGGATATATGTAGGCTGTATTGTGTTTTATAAAATTTAAACTTGGATTCAGGATTTAACCATAACAAACCACTGATTTTGTCGTGTTTTTGCGTCGGTAGTGTTTGAGGATGTTGAATTACCAGTATTTTAATTTACTATTAAAATGCTTGAATAAATTTCTCAAAAGAACTTTAAATGTAAGAACATTTTAGCTTGCTCGAATTCAAGCAACAGGTATACTAGTGTTAATTTAATAGATTAATTGAAAATCAATCCAGGCAAATAGAAATTTGCTTAGTCAGCAGGTTTGCTGTAGCAGGGGTATTCTTAGTTTAAAGCTGGGTTTTCCTAGAAGCGGAGTGGACCGCCATAGAAATCGCTTCTCTACACTGCACCCTCCGCATTGCACGTTCCGCTTCCCCGACTAGAAGCACCCACTTTTTAAGAATTAATATCATTAGTAAAATTCACTATTCACGTTATGATAATCTTGATTGTTTTTAATTTTCAGGACCTGAAACCCAGCAATATAGTTGTGAAATCAGACTGTACGTTGAAGATCTTAGATTTCGGCTTGGCCAGAACTGCTGGCACAACGTTTATGATGACTCCGTACGTGGTCACCAGATATTACAGGGCACCTGAGGTAGGCAATAATTTACCTCTAGGAAATATAGCTCTAAATTAAAAATCGAATTGTGTAAACATACCAATTTAAAATATCATCTAAAGAGTGTAACCGGTTTTGAATAGTTACCAAGTTAGTTAAAATATGATACTGATTGGATTGTGGCAGCAAATTCGATTTAGACTAGTAAATTGAAGCAGTATAGATTGATTGAATTACAATACAAACATGTGAAGCTGATTTGAGTAAAAGGTGGGTGTTGAATAAATGAGGGAGTAACTTTGTTGTTGACTACTGAGTTGGTTCTTTAGCCAAAGACCTTTTATAAGCCAAATGGTCGAGGGAAACTGGGCTCAGTTTCGTCACAATTGAACCAGCGACCTTTTACCAATATCTCACAGCCGATCTGGTTAATAAAAGAACCCTCTTTCCATAAATTGAGACTCGCTCCTCTGAGCTTTCCAATCTTATTTAGAACTGAATCTTTCTGTTTAGGTTTCAATAAATTGTGTCTATATTATAGAATCCACATTTGCTTCCTCAGGTAAAATTATTGGATAAATGTTGGTACCTGTCCAGATCTGTGATATAGCGTTGTTTGCAGGTGATCCTGGGTATGGGCTACAAAGAGAACGTGGACATCTGGTCTGTGGGCTGCATCATGGGGGAGATGATCCGTGGAGGAGTGCTCTTCCCAGGAACTGACCACATTGACCAGTGGAACAAAATCATTGGTGAGTACTTAACATTTTCTATCTTTTGTTTTATAATTTAAATCAATTTTAATTTTACTTACAGTCTCAAAGAGGACAAATGTTTGAAATTAAAACAATTTTGACTCAGCTAATATATCAACCATTAACACTGGAATACCTTGGCCCCATGGCAAATCTGATTGGGAGTCAATAAACTAGAGTGTCATGAAATCAGAATGTAAGTATCAAGTCTGATATACTTTGCACATTATTTTAACAACTACCTAAAGAATCTTCAAAGTTGGAGACCTTATATATTATTTGTCATTTTAAAATGTTCACTAACCCATGACTGTTAAAAGTCCTATTATTGCAGTCATATTTCACAGGTGTTTGATGTAGTTGTATGATTTGTAGAACAACTTGGTACGCCCAGTGGAGATTTTATGAAGAGGTTACAACCGACTGTGAGGAACTATGTTGAGAACCGGCCTCGGTATCCAGGCTACCCCTTCGACCGACTCTTCCCCGACGTACTGTTCCCCTCCGACTCCTCAGAACATAACAAACTTAAAGGTAATCCCACAAAAAAGCGTCATTTTTAGCGCCGCGGCTAAAATTAGCCAGTAAAGTTCATTCTTGTACTTGTAGGGGAGTGCCCCTTGCTTTTCATCATATGTTCTACGCTAGAGCCAAAGGACTATATTGTAGATGTGCATGCAAGGCTAAAAAAGACAATTAACCAAAAAAATCTACACAAGTATAGATTGTCCGCTGTTCAATCTTTATAAATAAAACTATAATTTTGTTTGCATCTACTAATACAATTTTTACTGCGTTATATGGCTTGTTATATAATGGGAGTAGGCCTAAAGATCGATGGAGATTAATTTGTCAGTAAAAAAAATTTGATGGAAAATTATATAAATAAAAAAGCGCTACAACAAATTTCCTGTGCCCCCTCTTGTTTTCACATTTTACAGAAATTAACTTAAAGACAGTTGTTTTTTTTTTTTCTATTGTGTGTGGCTGTTGCCATATATGGACGGATGAGTCTTGAAGTAAACCATTGTATGACTAACTGTGTTATTATAATTGCAGCCAGTCAAGCTAGGGATTTGTTATCTCGGATGTTGGTGATCGATCCTGAGAAGCGGATATCCGTAGATGAAGCCCTGCTGCATCCTTACATCAATGTGTGGTACGACGAAGGGGAGGTTAACGCAGTAAGTACGAATGTTCGACCAATATTTTTTTTAACTATTTGTATGACAAAAGATTACATTTTTAAGGGCATATCGTCATTCTCAATTATACCTCATTATGGTCTCATTTATACTACTTGTAGTTTGAGGAAACCCTTTAATTGGCAATATTATTAGTATTGATGGAATCGTGGGGGGGTGGGAGTGAGCTGGCGTAGTGGTTAGAGCGCGGGACTTCAGTCCCTGAGGTCCCGGGTTCGATCCCCGTCAAGTCACCAATGGATTTTATCTAAGTGATAATGCCGCAACCTCTAGGTATAGCCTGAAGTGATGTGAAAAAACAATCCCAGGCTCGTGCCTAGCGTCCTAGGACAGGGAATATTTTAGTATAGTCTGCAGAGTGCAGGTTTGCTGCGCCAACTATTGTAATGTAACACATGTTTGATTGCAGCCTGCGCCAGGCCCGTATGACCACTCCGTGGACGAGAGGGAGCACACTGTAGAGCAATGGAAGGAGTTGATCTATCAGGAGGTGATGGAATACGAGATGAGTCACAACGCGAGTCGTACAACTCCCGAGGACTCTGACGCAGCCGCCCGTCGGTAGAACCACCAAAACCCGTTAATTCCACCATTCGTTTTTAATTCAGGTTGTTATTTGATTAGGTTCGTTTCATTCTGTAGGACTTGTACTGTACAAAGTGTAAGAAAACCCTCTGTATTATTATTCACTCAACCAAATTGGTTTGTATCATAAATATAAGCGTATATAATGGTGTTATATAAGGTACGTTTCTTTAAACTGTGGGACATTTTTATGGTTTTTAATTTTTCATCGGAATATTAATTATTGACAATTTTTTTTAATTTTGGCAGTGGCTTTTGGTAGTTGATTTAACATTTTTAGTTAGACATAGTGGTAGATTACTAACTAAGAGTTTATAACAACATTGACAACGTTACTTATTTTTCTAAAATGTATTGTTATTGATAACAACTACAAAAATTTTGACAGCCCAAAATTTTTTTTAAAATTGACTTTTTAATTAATTTAACCATTGTATGAATGTTTTGTTCCTTGATAGTTTTAAAATAATTGATCGACTGCAGTTGTTATTACATTTATAGACATAGAATAGTAGAAAAAGACTCGTTTGGTGTGTGATGCACATAATCATAAGAATTGCCATTTGATTCGATATAATTTATTATGTTATTATTTTAACTATTTTAGGGAGTAGTCATATTAAATTAATTTGAATATTAATATTTTATATATTAGGTAATAAATTTATTTTCTTTAGGTTAGCGGATGTAACATTCTTGTATTTTATATATAGTTTCTTTTGCAAACTAGCCATTTATGTAGTACCTGTCTTTTTTTCAAAGGATTGTAAAACTAATTTTACAAAAATTATAAATCTAAAATTATTGCTGCTCAAGGAAAATGATATTGTTATTGTTATACCGGGCTGAAAGGCAATGCTGGATGTTTAACATTTTATTATAACCCTAATTACTACTAACTGTATCAATATCTGAACAAACTACGTTTGTGTAATGTAATAGTTTCTTTTTTATCTAAACAATTTGATTCAGTGTTTGTTTTCTTCACCAAATTATTTATTTCCTCAAGGATAAGATTTCTTGAAATTGAAAAGGTGTGATTTGAAATATATAGACCCAGCTGGTCTGGGGCCTAATATTTTTACACTTTTAAACCACAAATTGAAATGTCCATACAAAGGTAGGACTGGATTTATTCAACCAATTAATTCTCACAAATTGACATTAACATTTTAGTTTTCGTTTTGCTGACTTGATGAAATATCCAATCAAAGACAGTGTGGTCGAGTCCTCATCTTTGTTGTTAAGCAGTGAGAGTATAGATGCAATCAGGTGTTAAGTTGCTGTACAAAAACTCGATAATAACTTGTACAGTTTTTTAACTTGTTGCGGGTGCAGTGTGTGGTGTTTGGACGTTATTGTTACGAGTCCTTAGTACTACCATTTTATGTAATTTATACTGTATTTATACCGTTTGAAGCAGAGACACAGATCTGCAGTCCGGTCCATTTTGCCAGTACAGTAGAGTGTCGTGTGTAGTTCTTTCCTTCTAGCACCTTGTTCTTTTCTGTAAATATTCCACTATCTCCTTTGTGAATAAGTATGTATAGTCATAGGCTAGAACTGCCGCAGGACACGAGTCACTGTTCCAAATCGTATGTGATAGAATCCTTTTAGGCAGACTCCATTTTGTTGTGTGTGGGCGCAAGTTAGCGGTTTATAAAGTAATCAGTTTTCAAGGTCGACATGCAGGTATATTGTCTTATTGTAATCACGTCTATCATTATTCAACCAACCAATAAAATATGATTCTTAATTATGTTATTCATGTAGAACCCAGATTCCAGATTTTAATATCAATCTCGATGTTACTTAGTATCCCTCATGCGGGATTAAGTTAATTTATCACCAATACACTATTGAGTAGTAATGGTCAAAACAAAACCATAATTTTTGAATGTGAAAACCAAAACCGAGGTATAAAAAAATTTAATCACTAATCTGAATCTCGAATATTTAAATCCTAATGCAAAACTTGTAAAATATTTACTGTGCAATAAAAAATGTTAAGGTACTGTATTGGACTTCTGAACCTGAGTTGCATATTCATAATAAACATAGCCCACCTATATAATTCATAATAACATGAATATGCAAACTAAATAAACTTAAACAAAAAAAAAAAACATTGTTTTGATAAAGAACAAACACTAAACAAATCAATAACTCTTGACACTATCCTCAAAAACATGAATGAGGTTAAGTTTATAGTGTTAGTTTTGAGTTTTGAATCTCATAACTTACCGAGTGAATCTAAAAACCATACAACCAATACATTTTATACTATTAATTAATAAACTGTGATGTAATATAGGGGATAAGAAGTCACAATAAGATCCAAGGGAACCAAGAGGCAAATATTTCAATTACAGTAGAGTCTCCAATTAGCTGACCTAAACCAGCCTCACAGAGGTGGGATTAGAATATTGGTGGAACACAGAAAATAGTAAATACCTCAGCCGCAGCAAACCTGCAGACTAAGCAAACTTCAATTTGCCTGATTGGTTTTACTGTAAAATATCTCCATAAAAAAATCACATTTTCCCCTATTTCAATAGAAATGGCATAACAAGTACTTAGTTTTGCTACAACAGGGAGGGTTAAAAAGTGTTTTTTGTGAAATGTTAATAGTTGAGTATAAAATTAATACATCTTCCAAATTTTATCAAAATATGTTCATAAATAAGCAAATTACAACAGTTTACTTTTTCTCCATATAATTTAAATTTTAAATTAAAACATTCTTGGAATTTTTGCAGTTACTATTAGGCGCATACTAACGCTTCAATATACTAAATTATTTGTTTTTTAAGCTCTACAAAATGGTTTGGAAAGAAATTACATGTGAAAATTATATGTTTTTAGGGTCAAAAATGGGAAAAACCAATATTTACCCCATTAACCCCTGTTTCCTTAGTCCAATCCTGGTTTGCGAACTCGTTAGAATAAATGTAGGTATGTAGGTAGGAGTATCAGTTAGCACGATAACTGGAGCAAAAATGACGAGATTTTGATTAAAATTTCATCAAAATCGGATCATTTTTGCTTGAGTTACCGTGCTAATGGACACATATATAGGCCTATATAAATATATATATGAATTTGAACAGATGGTGTTTTTAGCCTCTGGGGACCTCAAATTAAAAAAGTTAATCGGTCCCGGGTCCAGGTCTTGTTATGAGTACTACGGTAATAGCTACTTCCCTATAGGGAAATTCGTTAAAGTAATTTAATTTAAGAATACAAAAATAAAGGATAAGTATAACCAAGTATAAGTCAAGAGAAAGTACAGTCAAGTACAGATGTCTGTGTGTGAAGTGTGGTGTGTATCCTCCAATCACAGTCAAGGACCTCAATGAACTCACTATGCTGCTCAGCCATCCAACAGAACACATTCTTGCAGTACTCAATCGTACACAGGAAACGTCAGATGGCTGAGAGACTGGACTGTAAGATGTTTGACCAACGACCATTTGTTTAACTAGCCTTTTTTCAAATAAGGTCTTATAATAGAAAATACTAACACATTATTTTTTTACTTAATAGCACTAGTGTGGTAAAGTAACGAACCAATAAGGGAAAAGAAGTAAAACTGTAATGCCTCAATTGCCAACTTATCAGCTGATAACGACCAATTCAATTGTTGATCCGCCAACTTCCGCTGGAAACACACATACCTAAAAGTTGAACACAACGATTTGCTAACCAACAAGTTCAGGAAGGTTTAATGAAAGATTTTTAAAATGTCAGATAATTCTAGTGAAATAGACGACATCGAAGTAAGTGCTCAAACGGTTTGTAATAATATTTTCACCTTTCACCACACTATGATGTTTTTGGATGTATACCTTAATTGGTGGCTGAAAGTAACGTTTTGCTGGCCATGCCAGCTGTCATCGTAATTTGGGGACCGAGCAGGTTTTTACAGCCCGAGGCCGCAAAATCAGCTGTGTGCTTACTTAAAACATGAATGCATTTAAAATACACAATCCAAATCCATAGAATTGTGTTATTGTCACCGTTGCCTAGCAACTTTTTATTTTTATTTTTGCTGATTCCTCAAATTATTTCATCACGTAACCTTAAATATGTAGTTGTGTTGACTTGACTATCAGTGTGCATTATTATAGTGGTGAATAGTGGCAATAGGGTATAGTGTGGTGAAAAATAGCGTTCGTACCACGGACCGAAATGGTTTTGCAGCTCTCGATCGATTTAAGTTCTCAACTTCGTCTCGAACTTAAAAACTATCTCGAGCCGGCAAAACCTCATTTTTGGCCCTAGGTACGAAATATACTATTTAATCACTCCTTACCAAAAGTAACAATTTTTCGATAACAGCTGATATGAAAGAAAGTAGATGTTTGCCAAGCTCTAATTTAGGGCGAGGGAAAAACGATCAGCTGATTTTCCCTCGCTCTCAATTAGTTCTGCATTCATCCACTATGCGCGCTAGGGATTTTTTAGGTTTTGATTGATGACTAGCTGTCCTGTCCTATGTCAAAAGCTCGTTCATTTTCAAGATAAGCTCGTTCGCATGGTTCAATCACGTCCTGGTTGAAGTTTGTTCGCTACGCTTACTCACCTTTAGGTTGGAGCTCGTTCGCTGCGCTCACTTGCCCTCAGGTTAGCTCGTTCGCTACGGTAACTCGCCTCGTTTGCAGTTATGGCTGCAAATTAGCTGTTGTCATAAATTTTACAAAATAATAGTGCTGCACCCTGTTGGTAAACCTATTACCTTTTTAATGCTATTGAGCATCACAGAATCAAATTGTTTTGTTGAACCAGCTGTTAAGATTCTTTAATTCCATTCAAATATGAGTAGGCTGGAGTAGCACATATTTGAATTCAATATCAAACTAGGAATTTATGACTCCAATTCCTCTGAGATTGAGAAAAATGTAACATTCCTTAACATGGCCAACTTAAATACCTACCAAAGGAAACTCAAACCTTTTGTTAAAACTGGAATTCCCATGAATTTGTGTGAAATTTGGAATAAATAAAGCACAGTGTACACAAATTAATATTTTTTTATAAATCTGTGACCAAAAACAGGTAACAAACCGATGGCACATAATCTATAAATGACACTTTTTCCACTTTCTCTATATGACTAGGAATTTTTAGTAATGAGGTAAAAGAGAAACAAATCTGAGAACATTTGGCAATTTCGATACATTACAATGTATAAATTCATGTCAAAGGTAATTCCTAATATGCTATTACAATAATTTATGTATGATAATTATTCCTAACAGGCTATCACTAAAGAGATTACACTGGACACACCTTATTGCTATTTAACATCTTACTGTGGAAATATAAATTATCAAACATTCAAGATTTAAGATTCTCGCTCATATGAATACTTTAAGGTGATAATAAAACTACATGTGCATAAACATTTCAAAAAGTTACCAACAAAATCACCGATCAAAAAACAACTATAAAAACGCAAATAAATTGTATTAGTTTACAAAAAGTGAAAGGAAAGACAATATGATTCATAATAATTAGGCAGTTGGTCAATACTCAATATCAATCCAGTTGATCATAATTTGATTCTGCAGTCACTTTTCAATAACCATCACTTTGCCCTTTTGTCTTACTGAGTAGAGAAAATAACTTGCTGAACAATACTATTCAGTTCACTGTCTGACTTTAAGTTTGTTAAGATATTTATTAAAAAAGGATGTCTTATTTGAATGTCATGAAATTTGAACTTTTATAATCAGGTAAAAAAACCATGGGATTTCTTCCTTAATGACGTAAATACGTACATTTCACATTTATTGTCAACAAGAATAAGTAACAAACAAAAACTTTAAAGCTTAGGCTATGAAAATATTATTTTTTGGGTTGTTACAGACTGTGCTATTAGGCCTACACCTTCTCATGGTGTGTTATTATGCTTATAAAGGACAAACTATAACAAACCATGATTTAAAGTTACAGATTCCAAGGTAAACTAAACCTAACCGATTAAATATGCTAGGTACTTCTGCTTTTATTTTTAATACTGGAATATACCAGTAGTTGAGGAAGGTTTCTCCAGACAAAAGTAAAACAAACAGGTAGGTAATAGGCTAAAGTAATTTTTTACTTTTAATGTAACTATCATGTAAAGAGGTTATAGGTATAATGTTTTCAATAATGCCTACAAAGCTATTTGAATCTCATTTACATAACTGTAATAACCTTATTTGAGCAGGCTACGTGAATAAAAAACGTGATAGCACAATCAGTATTTGGCAATAATGAATTACGCTGCAATCAAGCTAGAACTAAAAATGTATGATATGTTTCCAAACTTTTAAAGATGCTCTAAAAAAATCAATGTCAAATGCAAATGTCAAATTAAAGGCACATATATAACAATATCATGTTTGTTAACAAGTTTGGGTATTGTGAAAACAAAAGTATGATTAAACCACTACAGTATTATGTTTTGATTCACAGATATGCTAAAGTAATAGTCTAGAGTGATCTTTCTACATTTCACCATCAATAATATATATTGAATGTTTAACAGTTTGAATACTCATTAATGCTTTCTAAACGAAAAGCAGATAGTTATTTATCCACCAGGATGTAACTTGCAATATTAAAATTTCTTAGCAAATTTGACATAGGCAGTCTTGATATTGTTTCAAGTCATCAAGCGATTCAAAATAACAGATTCTAAAAGGAGCTGGAACATCAAGCTCCTACCAACAATAGTGATGATTACACAGCGATACCTGAGAAAGTCCA